ATGGTGTGCAGCAACACACATTGATCATGGTGTGCAGCAATACACATTGATCATGGTGTGCAGCAACACACATGGGTCAGGGTGTGCAGCAACACACATTGATCATGGTGTGCAGCAATACACATTGATCATGGTGTGCAGCAACACACATGGGTCATGGTGTGCTGCAACACACATGGGTCACGGTGTGCTGCAACACACATGGGTCATGGTGTGCAGCAACACACATGGGTCATGGTGTGCAGCAACACACATGGGTCATGGTGTGCAGCAACACACATGGGTCATGGTGTGCTGCAACACACATGGGTCATGGTGTGCTGCAACACACATGGGTCATGGTGTGCTGCAACACACATGGGTCATGGTGTGCAGCAACACACATGGGTCATGGTGTGCAGCAACACACATGGGTCATGGTGTGCAGCAACACACATGGGTCATGGTGTGCTGCAACACTCATGGGTCATGGTGTGCAGCAACACACATGGGTCATGGTGTGCTGCAACACACATGGCACACATGGGTCATGGTGTGCTGCAACACACATGGCACACATGGGTCATGGTGTGCTGCAACACACATGGCACACATGGGTCATGGTGTGCTGCAACACACATAGGTCATGGTGTGCAGCAACACTCATGGGTCATGGTGTGTAGCAACACACATGGGTCATGGTGTGCAGCAACACACATGGGTCATGGTGTGCTGCAACACACATTGATCATGGACATGTTGGAACTCACATGTGTCATGAAGACAACGTCCACTGTTATGTTATGTAAAATATTATAAATGTTTTACCAGTATAATACCATGGACCACTGGAACAAAAATGATCATGGTTGTGGGTATTTTTAGACTAGACCTCGTGGTAAATATAGTGGTACTTATAGGACTTAGCCAGCCACGAGGCCACCAAAACAAAAACAAATTTGCTGTCAAATGCAAATCATGAGGTAACAAACGTTTGGACAACCATCGTAAAATACACAATGTCCAATCTAGAGGGGAAGTTATCATATAGAAATATTCTTTTACTCACATAATATCATCCCTAAATGGGTGTTAGTTTATGTAATTAAGAGATAGATAAACTACCTTGGCTAATCACGTGAAGAATATAAGGTTTATAAATCCAGCTTGCTGGCAGCCCCAGGCGATGCCAGCTCACGTACGCCCGGAGCCACCACACAGTCTCGTCAAAACACTGGCCTTGTTTGCACATACATGTTTTTCACAGAACATTTATAGGCATATAACTATAAACATATACATAAGTACACACAGAAATCACAATAGTGTGATGCATCAAATGAACAAATCCACGAGGGCCGTGATGTGGGTTCACAACCTACGTTCGAGAGGATCCCATATGTTGGAAATTTCCAACACTGAATACAACACTGTTGTATTCTCATTAATTATTACTAATTCTACTAATCATTGTAGTGATTAAAATTAACCCAACGTAGAATTCACATGTACTAATAATTGCATCTGTACAGTAAGGCTAGAATTCTTACGTCACCCGACGCCAGTATTGCGTCAGATTTCATTGTAATAAACACATTTATATCCAATGTGCCTGAGAATTGAATTCGATTCTCTATAATCAACGGTGTTCTGTGTGATAATTAATTACAGATAAACTGATCTCCAAATAAGGCCAAATAGAGCATTTATAGTTATAGCTGTTATCTAGTAATAAAATTAACGTCACGCGTGAATGCCCTGGAGAGATTATAATTCTTCTCCATTGTTCGTTTACTATCATAGAACTGGCAAATAATAATATTTGACTCTTCCAAATAATAAACCCGTCCTAACCCGAGCATTTCAAGCACAACCGCGAGAAATGATAATATCCATAATAATAATTTGGTTAATGGACGCGGAGCGGGGAGGAAGAAGACGCCAGTCCACGTGTTGAAGCGCTCGCGAGCAGACCTGTTCACGTGGTGCTCACGAGGAGACACCATTACCCAACCACCAGGGTAAACACTATCAAATCTCCAGAAGAAAGTCGCCACTGTGAGGTGTGAAGAACCTTGCAGACAATACCTTCACCTGGTGTCAGTGTCATCTACAGAACCTGTTAAATTTGGTTCTATGTAACTCCATGTGACCGGCCAGTGGAGCGCGTCATTATCTAGGATAGACAAGTTCAGAGCCTAGGACGCGACTTTCGGCAAGCTTTAACTTACACAGTGCCCATATTAGCTAAGTACCTTATCCTTGTTTGATGCATCAGATCGGGGGTGGGTTTATAGCTGGGTAGCTTGTCGTGACGACGTATAACAACAAAAAATCACAGGTCAATATCCCTCTCTTACCATTAATGTTAATTTTATTGAGCATAGAAATCCAGTAATTTAAACTGTTGCTACTGGAAACATTTGTTTTGCAGCGTGTGTGAAGAATTCTCCGAGCTGTCATTTCCCATGTTAATCAACTCCTAGTGTTCCATGACGAGTCCAGGAGAATCAGAAGAAGCGTCGTGACTAACTTTCTAAGGAATCGTCATTAAGCTAAGATTCCTTTGTATTCCTGTAATTTCTTATCTGTACTCTTTTACATGCAGAACTCTGTTCATTGGATTACCATGTGTTTATTATGATTATTATTATTCATGTTCATGATCTATGTTCCCATTAATGATAACGATAATGATTTCATAAGTATTCATAGGATTAGATTATTATACATTGGATTAGTGAACGAACCACACTAGTTCCTGGACGTACTGAGTTCCAGTAATAACCCCCCAATGTGGGTGTTTGAGGTTTGATTCATTTAATTATACAGCCCATTAATTATTTCAATGATCATATTCTCTAGTATTTTATCCATAGTTACTGGTTCATCTAGGAATTATCTAATGATCATATTTTCTCAGTTTCCCTCTTTACTATAAAAGTGGGTGGTCCTTCGTAATTAATTTTACTATATTAATATTTAAATAATTAGAGTCAAGCCCCAAATGTCCCACACCATATGCGGCTTAATCGACTGTGCCACGACATGGTTAAAAGAATTGCATGGTTGAAAGAATTAAAAAAATGTGGCACAGTCGATTAACGCGCGTCTGTGATCCTCTCGGACGTATGTTCGAATCCTCATCATGGCCCTTGTGGATTTGTTCATATACATAAGTACCTTTTTAACTGTTTAAAGGCACAGTATTAAATGATTTAAGAACAACATGTCAGTAACTAGGAGGAGAGGTCTTGTTGTTGTTGATTTAGCGGCAAACGTAGGATCGAATGCTCCCCGGCGTACCCGTGAAAGTTTAATCGCAAAATCGAATGGCGAAATGAATGTCGCTTATCATCGGATACTAATGATCCTTGCAGCCAATAAACACACAGATAAGCAGATGATTGGCGAGCCCCAGGAGTCCCTCAGAGTAACAAGCGCCGGCCCCATCCCGGTGCGTGAGAACACTGAGTAGCAAACCCAAAAATTCTGCCCAGCTAAAAAGCAAAAGTCATGCAGTGCCCCGGGCAGAGCAGAAGCCAGCCGCCCCCAACGTCTGAGGGCACACCAAGAGCCACCAACTCGCGGCACCTCTGGAGTAAACCGGCGCCGGACACAGTCACCCAGCCCGAAAACGTTCAAAATCTATCAACTATCCTGTGACCCAAGGCGATATGTACGCCAGGTGTTGCAACAATCCAGACCATTCAATAGGAATGCCAAATGGCAGAATCATAATCCAAAAAAGAGGAGGAGAGGTGGTTGATATCAGCAAACGACCACAGACCCCCCTCCGCTGCTACCGTCAAGCACATTCATCACCACACCACACAGAGCTTAAGTATTTGTTGAGAAGATTATTGGGCAGCCAATTTTATTCTTACTTCAAATATTGATCCCTAATAACAAATAATTAAGTGGGTGTGGAGGTGGTTAGGAACAGGGCCAAAGCACCAAACTCCGTGTAACTGTTGTTATATAACTTTTATAGTAATAAATGTTCACATTAATCTTTCTAACTTAATGATAGACTAATAACAAATCTTTGTCAACATTTTGCTATACGATCGTTTTCCTTACAAGTAACTTGCTGCACTTTGTATTATGTAATAATAATAATAAATGTTTATTCAGGTAAAAGTACATACATACAAAATGAGTTACAACCAGAATGTTGGATTTCTAGGTAGAGCTAGTACATACTATGCCTAAAGCTACTAATACGCACAGCATTTCGGGCAAGATTTAAGAAAAACATTTAAAAACTAAGACCTAAACTAAGCGAGAAGAAAATAATGAGTTGGACTGAAAAAGGGAAAAAGAAAATTGAATGACAATAATTGTATGTTGGATAGAACAGCAGAAATTGCAACAGATCATCATAATTCATTTACATTAAATAAACAGGCAGACTACATTTTTTTATTACATGTTTTTGTACAAGTTCATACTAAGCAGATATGGTAATCTTTATTACAACATACTAATGAGTGTTTTTACTAGCGGGAAAGTGGGAACAGCAGTCACTCTGACCCTGTGCTTCCTTAAACTATACGCAGACAAGCTAGACCCACAAGAAGGACGTCGGAAGCAGCTACGCTTTTTCTTTGTTTTGTCTTACTTTGAATTTTATTTGATATTATTTCCTTTCTCTATATATTATGCCTAGCGTTGGGGAATTGAAATTAACATTCATTTACATGTGAGTGGGAAAACTCGGGTAAGACATATGACCCCCAATGACTACATAACATACTGCCTCACTTGACACCATAAATAACAAGACAATTTAATTTACTTCGTTGGATCAGAGATGCAAGACAACTCACCTGGGGACAGAGGGCTGGCGGGTCGACAGTGCATGCCGCCCACATCCACCTATGAGGGCAGTACAACTCACCTGGGGCAGAGGGCAGAACAACTCACTTGGGGCAGAGGGCTGGCGGGTCGACAGTGCATGCCGCCCACATCCACCTATGAGGGCAGTACAACTCACCTGGGGCAGAGGGCAGAACAACTCACTTGGGGCAGAGGGCTGGCGGGTCGACAGTGCATGCCGCCCACTTCCACCTGTGAGGGTAGGAGGGGCAGTGGTATGCCAGTACTAAAATGGGTGTTCATCAGCGCCAGACTCATGTTCCTCTCCAGGTCCAAAAGCGGCGGCAGCTCCGGGAACTGCGCTGAGATCTGAGGAATAACACGAGGCCTTCACTGCACATGCTTCCGAAAGTAGTTGTGAGCTTCATTGACAAACTATTTTCAACTTACCTTCTGCACAAAAAAACTGAAAGCTAATAATTACAAAATCACTGACGTTTTAGCACATGCCTAAACCCACGACGGACGTGATTGGAGGGTAACGGGAGTGGTACAAGGAAGTTTGTGGTATTCGTTACTAAATACTAGATTATATTGGCCTGAGGAACCTGATAGGGTCGCTTGATTTGCTTAAAGAGGGGTCGTCTCTGAGGTTTCCCTGGGTGTACAGTCTGGGACGAGAGGGTCTGTACTCTAGGGTAGGGACTCTTACCATACAACATAAGGAGCCCTGTTCAACATACAACATATGGAGCCCCCCTCACCATACAACATAAGGAGCCCTGTTCAACATACAACATAAGGAGCCCTGCTCATCATACAACATAAGGAGCCCTGCTCACCATACAACATAAGGAGCCCTGCTCAACATACAACATATGGAGCTCCGCTCACCATACAACATAAGGAGCCCTGTTCAACATACAACATAAGGAGCCCCGCTCATCATACAACATAAGGAGCCCCGCTCCCCATACAACATAAGGAGCCCTGCTCACCATACAACATAAGGAGCCCCGCTCACCATACAACATAAGGAGCCCCACTCACCATACAACATAAGGAGCCCTGCTCCCTATACAACATAAGGAGCCCCGCTCACCATACAACATAAGGAGCCCCGCTCACCATACAATATAAGGAGTCCTGTTCACCATACAACCTAAAGAGCCCTGTTCACCATACAACCTAAAGAGCCCTGTTCACCATACAACCTAAAGAGCCCTGTTCACCATACAACATAAGGAGTCCCGCTCATCATACAACATATGGTGCCCCACTCACCATACAACCTAAAGAACCCCACTCACCATATAACCTAAAGAGCCCCGCTCACAATACAACATAAGGAGCCTTGCTCATCATACAACATAAGGAGCCTTGCTCATCATACAACATAAGGAGCCCCGCTCACCATACAACATAAGGAGCCCCGCTCACCATACAACATAAGGAGCCCTGCTCATCATACAACATAAGGAGCCCTGTTCAACATACAACATAAGGAGCCTTGCTCATCATACAACATAAGGAGCCCTGCTCACCATACAACATAAGGAGCCCTGCTCACCATACAACATAAGGAGCCCTGTTCAACATACAACATATGGAGCCCCGCTCACCATACAACATAAGGAGCCCTGTTCAACATACAACATAAGGAGCCCTGCTCATCATACAACATAAGGAGCCCCGCTCATCATACAACATAAGGAGCCCCGCTCACCATACAACATAAGGAGCCCCGCTCACCATACAACATAAGGAGCCCCGCTCACCATACAACATAAGGAGCCCCGTTCACCATACAACATAAGGATCCCTGCTCCCCATACAACATAAGGAGCCCCGCTCACCATACAACATAAGGAGCCCCGTTCACCATACAATATAAGGAGCCCCACTCACCATACAATATAAGGAGCCCCGTTCACCATACAACATAAGGAGACCCGCTCACCATACAACCTAAAGAGCCCCGCTCACCATACAACATAAGGTGCCCCACTCACTATACAACATAATGAGTCCTGCTCACCATAAACATTTGGTGTATCTTACACTATACAACATGAACTTTTTTTCTCACAATACAACACGTAATCGTCTACGAGATATACAATTTGTGTTGTTCACCATTCAAGATCTGGAGTTCCATTCATTATAAAACATTATGTTCTTAAACTATACGACACTATACGGGTGTTCCACTCATCATACAACATGTGATGCTCAATACACCAAACACTATGTGTTGTTCCATTCATGATACATGTGGTGTTCCGCTCGCAATGCATGTGGTGTTCCACCCGCAATACATGTGGTTTTCCACCCACAATACATACGGTATTACATTCACGATTCATATGGTATTCCACTAACCATACATGATGTGGTTTCCCAATTAATGTATATGCAGACTCCGTCTCTGCATGTCCCTGTATCCATCCAAATGCTATGCCATAGGAAGCTGTGTTTACTTTCTGTAGGAGAGCGTGGTGTTGAATCAGTCTCAGGCATGGTTAACATTGTTAAGTATTTATTAAGGAGTCGGTCCAGTGTCTTTTCTATTAATTTTTCAATAGAAAAGTTATGAGTTAGAAGATGAGATCTTTGTTTAGTTGAGAGTTATGTGAGAGTGGACTGACTCCTGATGTTATAGCATGGTTAGTGACAAGGAGTCTGGATAGTGTGAAGTGTGTTGTTGGGTGACTAGACGTGGTTGGTTAAGGACTGGGCGGGCTGTGTTCTTTCAGTTCACTAATGAAGCTGCCATACTGTATTGCATTTTGGTACAAAGCACTATTGTATTGTGCATTCGTACAGTGTACTACTGTGTTATGTGTTTTTATAGTGCACTAATGTATTGTGTGTAGGTACAGTGCACTACTCTATTGTGTTTTGGTATAGTGCACTACTGAAACTGCCATACTGTATAGTATGTTGCTACAGGATTGCCTAGTTGGACGCCAGAGTGTGCAGACGTGCACGTCTGCCCTGCCAGTTGCTACCTGGAGTTGCGTGTGGGAGGGTCCAGTTTGGCGTGTCGGCGCCATGATGGCCCCCCTCACCCCTGTTGTGCATCCTGTAGGTCTCGAGTTTTTTGATCGAGCGGGTTATCCTTATGTGGGGCTAGTGCTGTGGGACATGCTGTGGGTCCCTGTGGTGGATGTTTATGGCATTGAACTAGTGACTGCCCGCAGGGTGACTGTCAAGACCTTGCCCCTGCCAGAAGGTGTTGGCACTGTGGCTGTCTCCGATCGGAGTGGTGCCATCACGTATGTTAGCATGCTTGGGGCGCCCTTGGAATTCCCGGAGGGGCTCCTGAGGCATTATTTCGGCCAGTTTGGAGCGGTCGTCAGTGTGTGGTTGCACCTGCTCTCCTCGGGTCCGCTAAAGGGTGTGCGGTCGAACATTCACACCCTGGGAATGAGGCTGCGGGCGGACATTCCGTCTCAAGTGAAGCTCCTGGGTTGTTATGTTAGGGGGGTGTATTATGCCCGTCAGCCCCGTACATGTTACCGTTGCGGCCTCTTGGGCCATCAGGCTGCTGGGTGCTCTGCACCTGCTGTCGCGCCCGTCAACCTTTTCCGTGAGGAGGACTTCCCGCCGCTCCCCGTGGAGGAGGATTCGGTGGCTGTGGATGACTCTTTGGCTGCTGACGTGCCCTGTGTGTCGCCTGTTTCGCCTCTTGTTGCTGTCGCCTCTCCTCAGGAGGTTGTGTCGCTGTCGGGTGCTCGTCCTAGCCTGGTTGCTGTCTCGGATGCTCCCGTTGTTCTTCCAGATCCTATCTGCAAAGCTTCCCCCGTCTTCATGTTCTTCAACTGTGGTGCCTGTCACTGCGCCCTCGACGTGTGCCCAGGCTGTGCTGGGTGGCTGTGGGGCCTCCTACTCTGCTCGACCTGGTTCCCCGTGTGGTTGAGGATGCTGCCGTCCTGCGGAGAGCGTTGGTTTGCCCGGCTTGTGTTGACCGGGTCTCTGGGTCGACATCCGGCTCTGATGATGTGCGGCCGGTGCCCAAGCGTTCCCGGCGATCTTCTTCTGCCTGGGCTGATGTGGGAGAATTCGACGATTGTGGGTCTTCCAGCGACGGTGGTGTGGTTCCAGTTGCGTCGCATTCTTCAGTGGTGGCGGAGGTCCATGTGCCTGCGACTGCCAGTGACGGTGTTTCGGACTTCCCTTCTGGTGTGGTGCCTGTGGAAATTACTTCTGGTGCGTCGCCCGCGTCAGATGGTTCTGGTTTTGCATGGGTGAGGGTGGTTCTTCCTGCTGAGGTTCGTGGTGATCTAGTGGTGGTGTTGATAAAGGCTGCTCGCTCTGGGGGTTCCGTACCCCTAGCCTCGATCCCTGTTTCATCGGCGGCGGTTTTGCCGCTTCTCCATCTCCGGCCGGATCTTCTGGTTCTGCTGTGTTGGGGGTGGTGTTACCTCCTCGGCAGCCTTCGCCTTCTCCTGTGCAGCCGGCGGCGGGGCCGTCTCGGTGGCCTACGTACGCTTCTTCGGTATCCTTTGCTTCCTCGGGCGAGGTGGTTTGCCATGACCCTTCTCGTTATGCAACTTCTGCCGACCAGCTCCGAGAGCTGCCGTTTCCGCCTGATTTAGTGATTCCTGAATTTATTGCCCCCCCCCCCCCCCCCCCTCCCGTGAAACATGGGAATCGTTCGCCTACTGACATGGAGTATTTGATATGGGAGACCTACAAGCACAAGTATCCTCTATATGAGCTCCCGGAGAAGTATTCGCCTCCTGTTGAGGTTTGTTCTCCTTTCCAGTGATTTATTTTGTTTACCTGGTTGATTGCTATGTGTTGTGGGGTTGTGTCCGTTTGTGTGCGTGGATGTGGGGTGCGGTTGCGTGTGTGTGTGTGTGGTGGGGGGGGAGGGGGGAGGGCTTGTATTCCTTGTTCCTGCATGTTTCATGTTTCCGGTTCCTGTGCGTACCGGTGTGTGCTTGTTTGTGGAGTGTTTGTGTGCCCTTTGGGCTGCTTGTGTGGCCCTGCCTGTTTTTGTTCCCGTTATCGTGTGTAGCTGATGTTCCTTTCTTTTTGTTTGTGTGTAGTCTTTCTGTTCCTTTATTTTTCGTGTCATTATGTATTGGTGCCTCTCCGCGTGTGGATACGGGGCCGGCAGGCTTGTTTTGTGTTGTGTATCGGTGGTTGGGGTGTTGGGTGCGGGTTTGGGATGTACGCATGCACGCATTTTTGTACTGTCTTGTATTATGTTTATGTTTTTTGTTAGGTTTTTACTGACAGCCTTTTGGCTGTCTGTATTTTCTGTTTTTTGTGCGTTTTCTGTATTTTATGTTTTTTATATATTTTATGTATTTTGTGTATTTTCTGTATTTGTCATTGTGTACTTTTGTTCTTTGTGT